GTCTATAAGATAATTTATTTCAGCAACTTAAGCAAAATCGGAAACGTTTTAGCGGTTAATGACGTTAAACTCACATGATCACTCTAGTCTAGTAGGTCGCCTGACCGCAACCTGCAAAAACGCTTCCGCCTAGAATTAAAAGAAAATAAAACAAAACAAAAACAGACTTCGCTTTCATAATAACTTGTACTCAGGTCAACAGTCTGCTTCTTGTTACGAAGTGCACCCACTTTCTCCGATCCATTCTATTACTTGTGAAGTCTCTGGGCCAATCAAGTATCACGCACGATAATTGCGCAGTCTGTATGACGTAATACGTATCGAAGAGAGCTTGGATTACGGAAATGGAGTGTCAAGCTCGGCAATAGCACTCAATATTAATTGTCGACCTCAAATCGAGCTCTTTCATTAGAACAGTAAGACATTCTTATTTTTTACCTTAGACTGTCGCCGATAATCCCATGTTTAGCTCTGTTTTATTGAGGAACATTAGTTTCAATCGTTAGCACGGCAATGCTAACCTGCTAACACAGCTAAAACAACAACTACGCTGCGGTGAAACTGGAGTTCTGCATTAGGTTGTACTATGTTTTTTCTAACAAATTTATCTATTTGTTTTAATGTAAATCAAGAAGTTAGTATAAACGTAGTATCTCTGCTATGTAAGAGATAATTAATTATATTAAAGAACGTCGCCTAACTAGAGCAGAAGCTAGAAAAAATAAAATAAACACAGGCATGTCATCAGAGCTAATGCCAATGTTTAGGTATAGCAGTCGTGCTTTAAACCGTCTGATTGTAGCCTCGTTTAGTCAGAAATATTGCTTTAAAGGAAATATTTACGAAGCCTAAGAGTTTTCTCTCATTCACTATTTTAATATAAATAAAATAGTGAATGGAATACGATGTGATGGAATTGTAAATGGAATACGATGTGTTTTTTTTTTGGGGGGGGAAGGGGTGTTAGCTATTGCTAACAATCACAAGTCTTCACTGTAGCGATTGTAGAAGGTTTGGTTTATAGCCACAGAGTTACTCATCACAGGTGTTTAAGTTGGAACCCAGATAAAGTGACGCTATGATATGTGGTACTTTCCCTCTGAATGTAGCACCCTGATGTTAAGCAACCAGACTGTCATTCTCAAATTGTCCTCACTAATAAAATCCTTTTGTCTTGTCTAGATCACTGCTCAGATGAAGAGGGCTTGCCTGGCGGACCAGTTGTTTCACCTTTCCTTGCCATGGCAGCGCACTATTTTCCCACATTCCTCCTCCTCATTTTTTTGTCCTCCGTAGCCCTCTTGCTGCTCACCCTTCTGCCATCCGTCGCCCCATCCCTCCCCTTAACCGCCTCGTCTTTATCCTCGTCTTGGCCGTCATGTGGTCCAGGTCAGTCTTGGGCCGTCCGGATCCACCACAGTCTGCATCACCAGAAGGAAGATGAGAGAGAGGCCTCGGTTCACCTGGATGTGATAGCTGACAGGGTACAGTAGTATTTCAGCATCTTTTCTGATAGTTTGCACTTTGGTTTTAATTTGAACTCATAGATTTTCATCATTTTCAAATATATTTAGATAGTATTGCTGAATTTATTTGCTGGAACTATTTTCTATGGTAATATCAAAAGAAAGCTTAGTGACTTTGGTCCTTTTCTGTATTTACAAATTAAAAACAAGTGGATATTGTATCTCTGGCCACAATTTGTTTTATTTTCAAAACAGGGCTTAGCTGTTTGGTTGTTTTTTTATGCCTCATATTTGCTCTATTTATTATTGTAAAAGCTCAATTCAGTATTTTGTAAGTTTGCTGATTTTACTAAAAAAAAACAAAAAAACAACTCCAATATTTTCTTTGCAGGTAGCAAAAGAGGCGGGGCTTCAGAACCGGGGTCAGATTGGAGAGCTCGAAGGCCACTATTTGCTTTGCTCATCACAACCTCACACTGGATCTCTGGGACACATCTGGAAAAGGAGCATCCAACCGAGCGATGTTCTGGCAACACATCCTCATGTCCTGTGGTACTCCAAGGACAGGTTGCTCAGTCGCTCAAAGAGGTCATTGGCCTTCAATGACCCAAACTATCCTAAACAGTGGCACTTGGTAAGAGAACATATAGCACACGTCCACAAAATAAAAAATCAAGATCTGCCAGATATCATATGTTTTTATTTTATTTCTGTCTGATTTTATCTGGGTTGGCTCAAAGCAGTTAGATTAAACTAATTAAAGCAATTTTAGGAGATTTCATGTAGGTGCTAGAAGCAGAAATATGCGCAAATAACAGGATGCTGGACCTTCAGGCTCAATGCTGCCTTAATATTTGACCACTGTTCTTGGCAGAAATAGTAGAGATTAATTAGTTAAATGAGTTACTAGTCTTCCAGAGGCTCAGCTTTTAAGCATAGTCCACAAATTTCTAACGGAGTTGGAAGAGTTCCAGTTGCTTAATGGTGGTCTGTTTATCATCCTATGATCAGTTCTGATATGTGTTTGGCACCGTTGTTCCAGTTTTGACCATTTGACCCCAAATCTCACCAGAACTGGAAGCATTAAGGGCACCAGTGTCCTTAACGATAAATTTATGTACAGATGAATGCAATTACATAATTTGAATATGTCCACAGAACATTAACAGATGCTTGGTGTTTGTGCAAAACTGACAAATTTTTAATCAGAATATTGGAATTTGGTGACGTAATAATTGGAAGTTGAGAACAGAATTAGTTTTCACTGCGAAATATGAAATCTATAACTATTGCTACCCTGATAAGCAACAAATATGTGTGATATGTTTCTCAGCCGTATTGCAGCAACTGCCATATTGTGCTTTCATTTTCATTCTTTGAGCAATTTAAACCTGTTTTGCATGATCATAAAAATGATCCTGGTCACACATACCTAACATCCTGGAACAATGATTCCAAGTTTAAAGCTGGAAATGGTTCATTTAATGCCTCCTATGTGTGCTCTTTAATCAGCCTTTAGCACCAATTCTATCTGCCATCATACAGTTTACAAGCTTTGCTATCATACACATCTGCACCTTGACATTTTTGCTATGTTTATTTTTCCTGGTGTTCATTAACAGAGTTTTTCTCCTGCCTTTGCAGCACAATCGAATGAACATAGGCATGGATATCAACGTGACGGGAGTGTGGGAGCACAACATCACTGGCCAGGGTGTCACTGTTGTTGTTGTAGATGACGGTGTGGAACACACCCACAGAGACATTCAGCTCAACTATGTAAGTCGGAATTTAGTGTGGACTCTGCTTGAATTGTTTTTGAAAGAACAGTGGGCCTACTCGTAAGCTGTGCGTAGTGCTGTTGTGAAATATTTTCCCTTTTTCATGTCACAGTGGAGTTCAAACTCCAGGTCAAATATGGAAGCTGATAGTGGAACACGTATTGTGAGCAAAGCTGTTGGCGCTTTGCAGTAAATCAAAGTTTTGGAGAAAAAAAAAAAAACTTTCTGAAGAGATGCGAGTGTGGACTTTCTGGCAAATCCCATCCTAATGTAAAATATGGCAGATCACTGGATAAAAGATATTTCTGATCTTTTTAAGTTTTGAAAGTTATTTCTCTATTATTCTGAGATATATGAGAATAGTTCTTCTCTTTTCAAAGGAGAAAAAAAATATTACGTAATGGGGCAGAAACTATTACTGTTATCATCTTGAAGCCAGATTTTATTACATTATTACATAATGCGACATTCCAGGGTAAAGGCAAACTTAACCACTTTCCAGTTGAACTTGTCCTGTTGGATGCAAAGCTAGCACAAAGCTTGTAAAGGTTCGATGTCCATATGATGGATTTTTGTGTTCCTGTTAAGAGTCCAGAGGGGAGTTACGACCTGAACTCCAATGACCCCGACCCCATGCCTCACCCAGACCTCCACAGCGACAACCACCATGGGACTCGATGTGCTGGGGAGATCGCAGCCGTTCCCAACAACAGCTTCTGCGCTGTGGGTGTGGCCTATGGCAGCAAGGTGGCAGGTATGAGAGACCCAGTCAGTCTTTATCATTTTTCAGTACGTTTTTATTCTGACAGTCTTTGACTAAGAGGCACCAGTTTTTACAAAAATGTGTTCCGATCTGAAATCACTGACGTCCTTTTTTGGTTTTTGTAGGTATCAGAGTTCTGGATGGGCCCCTGACTGACAGCTTAGAGGCCATTGCCTTTAACAAGCATTACCAAATAAATGACATCTACAGTTGCAGGTAACTGTAGATGTCACATTAACAATTTTCTGTGATTTATCATTAAAACCTGTATTATTTCTTGGATGCTAATGAAGACCTCTCCTTCTTGTAGTTGGGGACCAGATGATGATGGGCACACTGTGGATGGACCTCATCCCCTGGGCAAGGTTAGACTTCTCACAGCTCTCCTTTTGTCCAGCATGTGGCAACAGACTGCAACAGATCTGTGCATCATATTCTGTAGCAGTTTCACTAGATTGATGCTTTTTCCCTTGCTCTAAAGCTGGATACATATGTTAAAAACATCAAATCAGCTTTTTCCTTTTTTTCTTTTTTTGTTGTTTTGTCACCAGGCTGCACTGCAGCACGGGGTGATTGCAGGCCGAAGAGGCTTCGGGAGCATCTTTGTAGTTGCCAGTGGCAACGGGGGTCAGTACGACGACAACTGCAACTATGACGGCTACGCCAACTCCATCTACACCATCACGATAGGCAAGACACAGAGATTGTTAGGAGTGTGGTGATGTGTGTATGTGTAACTGTGTGCAACACACGAAAATAGTCATTATACTCCAGTGTTGTTTTTTTTTTTGTTTTTTTCTGTTTGTTTTTTTTTAGGAGCGGTTGATGAGGAAGGCAAGAAGCCGTTCTACGCAGAGGATTGTGCATCCATGCTGGCTGTCACTTTCAGCAGCGGGGGGGCCAGATCAAGGAGCATCGTAAGTCCTACTGAGCTTATATAGTGCTGTTCTTGTCATACAGACCACTTTAAACAGGTTTACATGATGAGTTTGACTCGCCCAGCAACACTCACAATGTTCACACTCTTATACAATGATGTGCAGAACTGTTCCCACTGCAGGTTATTAAGCCACGGTGCAGTAGATGCATTCGTTTAGAAACGAAAAAGGTCTGAAGGAAACCTTGTAAGAATAATACTCCAGTATTAATGATTAGCTTGTCTAATAGTTAATTTCAGATATTCTTTGTTTCTCTTTTTGACTTCCAAAGCTGTACATTGTAGGCTGTGTTCAGTTTTATAGATACACAACCACGTTATAAAAGTATGATTTTAATAATACTAAAATTTCCATAAAGCTGTTTCTGCAGTTTAACGTCCTTTCATCCTTTCACTGAGATCTCAGGGAGTGTCGGGGTGACTGGAGGTTTCTACGGCTGAATGGAACATACAGCCGCCCCGCCTCTATTTTCCACTCATTACTGAGCAGCTAGCTGAAAAAAGGCTGCTGCATTTATTGCCTCTCTAGCAAGAAAGAAATATTTGGCTCTTTGGAAATATTTCCAGTCCCAAAACCCAGAGGTCCTCATATGGTGGAAATTAAAGAAGTGCCACTAATAATCTCCAGCTATTATTAATTCTAGTCTGTCTTTGAAATTACCTTTAACATGTTTGTTAGGTAACCATCAGCAGCTGCAAGCAGATTAGAGCAAGACAGATTAACCAAAAGTAGGAAAGACAAGTTAAAAGCTACTTCAAAGCATAACTGGTGATTATTCTGTTGTTGTTTTGTTCAATTTTATTGTGTAACTGCCATGAGATTGTCATACCAGCCCAAGTCTATATGTAATAATACTAAATCAAAGGAACCAGTTGGAATATGATGCACTGTCGCTTTAAGAATCTTTGTTAGCTCTAAAATAATGGAAACATTTGGGTAAAATCCTCCACGTCAGGAAAAGTATCGACTTCATTCATCTGAAAACGCTGGTTGAAGATGAGAGGAGTTGAGATCCACTGAAACCTCTCGATGTCTGTTTGTTGAAGTTTGAGGCTGTCACCGTGGCAACCTGTTTTGTTGCGAGGATGTCATCACTTGTGGGGAAACTGAGATTAGTCAGGACCAAACCACCGATCCACCCCTGACCGCATTACGCTCGCATGCTAAGTGGCTCCTCAAACGGGCCGCCATTTGCTTCTCCTAAACATTCAGTAATGAACTGGGATGATTACAGAGCAGCAGTGGTGGTGTGTGGATCAACAAAAGTGGGTGTAGAAATAAACTTGGTATTTATATGCTGTTTAACTGAGGAAGTCAGAATTTGAGTTTAATACTTCAGGTATTAAATATGGGTTTGCCGTTTTATTTTTATTGCTACAGCACTGTTCACTTTCAGGCTCTTTGTTCTTCTTATGAAACTCCATATGGCTTCACAATCCCCCCAATCAACACTGTTCAACTAAACACAAACAGCACTGACCTCTGACCACCTGCTGTCAGGTTATATCATCAAGATGGTGCAATGATGTAGGTGCTACTTTATGCACCAGTCCCTCCGTCTCCATGGTTTTAGATCTTATGCTCTGGAGCGGTTACGTGGGCTGTTGTGTTTTCCAGTAATTTCATCATTTGTACGGATCACACCTCTCCGAAACGTTCTAAACGTACCAGCCGTGTCGTTCTGCAGGTGACGTCTGATTGGTCGATGCACAAGGGGAGTGGCTGCACGGAGGGCCACACCGGTACATCTGCTGCGGCCCCGCTGGCAGCAGGGATGGTGGCCCTCATGCTGCAGGTGCGGCCCTGCCTGACCTGGAGGGACGTTCAGCATATCGTCGCCTTCACTGCCACACAGGTAAACCTGCAGGAAAACGCTCCGTAGTGTCAAAGGTTTTAAAACGACAGGCAACATAAAAGAACATTTTATTTCATGTGGCTTCACTGTTACCAAAGTTTTTTTTTGTTGTTTTTTGTTTTCTCTCTGTTTATTGTTTGGTCTGTTTACAGTACAGATGTTGACGGACACAAAAATCGTATCGTTAATGAAAATCAAGTCTGCTTTCCTCTCGTAACTGCCCGTTTTTGTTGTCGACGATTTCAACAGAACCTCCTTCTAACCAAAACATCACAGTATTGAAATAAAAATCGAAATGCTAAATATTTTTAGACATAATCACAGTTCTAATAATGTTGCAGTCCGGGCAGCCTTAAAAAGTCTGAAATTCATGTATCTAAAAATAAGGTCTTAAATTCTCTTAGATTTAAGGTCTTGTTCACTTTCAAAAAAAAAAAAAAAAAAAAACCCCTAGAAACAGCAAGAAGCACCTTTTTTTTTAACACAAAA